AGCCCACATCTACCCAGACACTGGGAGGATGAGTGATGAGTATTTTAAGGCCAGGTGGGGAAACGTCTGTGTGCCGCCATGGTGGTTCTGTGAGGCCCAAACTGCAGCCCATGCAGCTGCACCTGGCTTCTCCAGGTATCTGCACCCCACGGCCTTCCAAATGAGCAGACATTAACATTTTAGGAAAACTTGGCTCCCCCTCTGCCTGAGTCACTGACTGGAGTTTGTTTCTAGTGTCGCCTGCTGGTCTGCCTGCAGAGCTGTGCTCAGGTGCTCCTCTGTCCTCAAGACAATGTTGATCCCTTACCCCACTGGAGCCTGAGGAGGCGAGTCTTCCCCCCACAGCCTGTGCAAGGAGGCTCTGGTACATCAGTGAAAGGGAGACTTCTGGAAGTAGATCCTGTCTGGGGGTGTTTGCTTACGGTTTGATGTTTGAGATTAGAGACTGGCCCAGACGCATTTCAAGCTGGGTGGAGCCATTCAACCCTAACAAGCAAAGGGGAGCAAGACTTGCTGAGGAGCCCCGAGCTTACTAGTGACTGCCATGAATATATGGGGATCTCAGGCCCACAGCAGCACAAAACAAACCTGCCATGAGGGGGCACGGAAAGGTGCCAGAGAAGAGCAGCAGAAAGAGACACAGCCTGAGAGGGTCACAGGTTGGTTTTCTGTGACCTTATCAAATGCGAGTGCAGACATTAGCAAATAAATATCCGTGGTTTAGAAACAGTACGAATACACTGCTGGCAAATGGGCAGAGAGAGTGAGGTTTTGGCCCTCAATTCCTTAAACAGCAAAGGATTAAGGAGGCTTTCATGAGAGGCCCCAGAACTCACTCCACGATAGTTTGGAAGCAGCTTTTCAGGAACAGACCTGTGCAAAAGCAGCCAATGACCTTAGTGTGTCACAACTCCAGAACCTCCCACACAGACTGTAACTCTCTCAGGACAGAGACAAGACTGCTGAGGAGCCATAATGATCCCCTAGGCCTCTAGTGGTTCCCGACCTGTGGGTCACGGCCCCTTTAAGGTTGACTGACCCTTTCACAGAGTCACCCAAGATCATCAGAAAACATAGATATTTTCATCACAATTCATAATAGTAGCAACATTACGGTTATGGAGTAGCAACAAAAATAATTTTATGGTTGGGGGTCGCTACAACACAAGGAATTGTATATAAGGGTCACAGCATCAGGAAGGCTGAGAACCACTGGTCTAGGCCCACACAGGAGATCTCTCCAACATCCTACCCCCTTCTCATTATCCAATCAACAAGCACTCGGTCCTCCTTCCCTTCACAAATATTTCCAGTTGCCAGCCCATTAAGGAATTGTGGGAGAAAAAAAAAACCAGTCTCTTGTCTCTTTACATTTTGCAGAAGCCCAAGTGCGCGAGTTTGTTTTCTGTGAGGTCAAGCCCTTGCTCGTGTCGGATTGTGAGGCTTATTAAAGAGACGGTTTCTCCAAACACAGTACCACTCACAAATAGAGTCAACAGGCTTTCCGGACTTTGAGGGACCACTGTGTGAAGGATGTGCTAACTTGGGGCTGGTGCCCACCCCAAGACAACATCAAAAAGGGACCAAGCTCCCTCCTAGGGAACTGGCTTGTGATTAGAGTTTCTGAGTTGCTAGAAAGTCTGGGATCCTCCAAAGGGCTGGGACATCCAAGAGTGAACACATAGGACATCGGGTTGCGGCATGAGAATTTATGCCAGCTACCTCTGTCCCCGCCCCCCTCCATCCGTGGTGGTGGAGATTCCTAGCAGCTCGCTGCACAGAAAGTGCTGAGGACTAGCAAACAAGTATAACAAATGAGCCTACAAGGAAATTTGCAAATGTGCTGTCAGAAACCTCATCACATGGACAGGTTTCCCTGGGTGTGAGACTCTCTGAAGTTAGGAGAAAGGAATTTGTGCTTTCTGTCATTGAGAAACTGACTAGGGGGCTGGGGCCCCTGCTGATCTCCCTGCCGCCCCCACAAGCTTTTCTCAAAGGTGTCACCATTTAGGATTGATAAATGAACAGCAGGCACTGGGATTGGCCAGGCAACCTCTGCTGAGTAGTGGCTGAGGCGGGGCACTCCCTCCACACCTGCCCCTGCCATCTGCAAAGGCAATAACATCTGCAGAGCCAGAACCACCCAGGGCACATCTAGGGTGCCTGTGGGAGCACCCAGGATGGGTAATGAATCCCAGCTCACTTTCCGGCTTGCTCACATGACAAATGGTCCAGTCCAATGATGAAGAGAAATGGAGACAGGCTGTAGCCCCTCCGTGCACATTCCAGTTAATTTCCCAGAAGCCAGCACAAGTAATGCTACTTCTGAGCAGAGTTGTCTAGGGTGACAGATGAAGACCAGTGGGGTTTTGTGTTTTGGAGAGATGGGGAGGGCAAAGAATATGAAATTTGATTTTCTGGGATTTTTTTTTTTTCCCGCTGAAAGTGAACGGAATGCTAGGAAACCACGCAGCCAGGAAATATCCCATTGTCTGGGAAGCCAAGGCAAAGACAAGGATTGATGCCCAGAAAGGTTAGTCTGTTAACATAACGTGGCAAGTCATGACTTAGGAGATTGGTGGTCTGACGAAGGGAATGTGGACCATCCTGCTGGGCTGAATGCGCCACTGTGCACAGGCAGCCTATAGCTAGCAGGCAGAGCTCAGTGAGAGCAGGCTCTGGCCATCCCTGTGGTCTCAACTGCCAAGGTCTCCCAAACTAGGAAAAGCCAGACAGTTTGATCTCTTCATCAGTTGCCTGGCATATTTGGGTAAATCTTCATCTTACCTTCCTTTGTTCTGGGAGAGAACAGTACCTAGTTGATTAATCAATCAGTTTGCAGATGAGATTCACAGACACTAAATAGTAAATCTATGCTGTGGCTGAGAATCCAAGAAAATGTCAGAGCAAAAGTCTTGCAAAGTTTATGCACAGAGACAGTCATTATGGGCCAGAGGTTGGCAGCACAAATGCCCCAGTCCTTAGACGGCTGGCCAAGCCACCATGCTTCCTGACACCGAACAGTGGGCAGCCCAGCAAGCTCTTGGTGATTTGTGAGGCAGGACCAGGGTCACTGATGGAAGCTTGTGTTCGGCTGTTAGGGTCAGGGGAGAACTCCATGACAAGCTATCATGTAGACGCAACATTTATGTTAAGTCTGTGTTTACATACACTATAGAAACATTTTGCTCATCACCTGTGTGGCCGAAATGTTGGGAAGGAACTCCTGGAAGCAAGCAGAAGGAAGTCTGGAGAGGCTGGTGACATTCGATCACAGCCTATCGACTCTCCCAAGAGGGCAGGTGGTTGGCCATTAGGACCAACTGACGCTAACAATATGTTTAATCTAACAAGAGACCTTGAGCTAGTAATAAAAACAACTCGCCCTGCTTCTCTAGTTGTTTACAGTGGAACCAAACTGCAGCCAGAAAGAAGTTACTTTACTTCATCAAAAAAATTTCATACGCTTACATTTATCCAGCCCTCCCACCATCAGCTCAACAGTTTGAACAGATAAATATTTATTGAAATCATAAAGGTATTCCACTCTTCAGGACTAAAACAGGAGTGATCGACTAGCCTGTCAGTGACCTCATAACAAGGTGGCATTTGGAACTGTATCTGCATGGTGACCCAGGAAATTATCAGGTTCGAAGACATGATTCTCATTTAATGGAAACCAACCAAGTCCCATATTCTTTTTGTCTTTGGAGGATCTTCAGCCTCAATAGTTTAAATCACAATAACCTTTTGCTTTGCCAACTCCTCAACCTTCTGGGCTGTTTCACAGCAGAAAATATAGAGAATGAAACTTGATAAACCCTTACCTTGATGGAGTTCTCGCACAGGAAATGTTCCTTTCAAGGGTGAAGAATGGTACTTTGGGGCTTATCTATCTGGGATACCAAATTTCAAGAAGGAATACAGCTACGATTCTAACTACCAGGTAAGCCCCAGAAGACATCCAGAATGCCCCTCCTGGTGGGGGACGGTGCTTGGGGTCTGTGATCAACTTGGAGCAGAGGAATGGAGAAGGCAAGAACTTTCCTTGAACCTTAGGCACTATGAGGACACCCCAACTCTCCTCTTTCTCCCATAGCAGTAATTTGCATTTAAAGAATTTTTATTGATTAAAACAAAATATCTTCTACATATTTACTCATGGCAACTCTGTAAAACAAATCCTTTCTCCACTTTAATCTGATAACATGGAGCTAAACTATTGACCAATCGCCATTGGTCATTGGGGACAGCCTTGTTGATTCAATTTTCATCCCTGTTCTTCACCTTATTTCCCTGTGGTGCATATGGAATACAGAGGCAGAACCCTCATTTTAAGATGAGTAGAGGTTCCTATAACTCGTAAGATACACAGCTGAGCTGGGCAATGGTCGTGGGGGTAAGTAAGGCTGGGTCACTCATGACATGGCATGTTTAGGGCTATTCCAGAAATGGAAGAAGCTCTGACCTTATCTTCCTGGAGCGGTACTTGTGAAAAGGGAAGGATCGTGTATATGGAGTGAACATTTGCGCAGGAGGAGGCATGGTAACTCCCCCAGGCTTTTAAAGCTCTCCTAAGTAGGGCTATCGGATGACATACAAGATGCCTGTAGTACCCATGCAATAATAAATAGGCTTATACTTAAACTAAAAGGTGTGGTTTACCGGAAATACATATTTAATGAGTAAGCTGTATTCTTGTGTGTGGCTTTAGCCTGGCTGACCCATTCCTCTTTGGTCATTGCTTGCAACCCCATGGGACAGACACACTGATGTGATGTTTCCAGAAACGCAGAAAGGGTAATTACAACTGGAGGCCTCCACTGGCGTACTATGACTGTGCTGGAGTTGAGCATCTCCATGCTTTGCCGTTTAGAAGACAATGCATGATGCCATCATTAGCTAAAGCAGGTCTCTGTCACAGGACTCAAAATCCCATCCAGGCTGCCCCTTAGCTGCCCCTCTCCCGGGGTATCCCTCCTGCACAGAGACCCACTTACTTGTACGGGATGTGTTTGCTGCCATTGACAAGAGCCAGGATGACGTTGCCCAGGGCAGACAGCGAGAGGCACAGCCCCGAGCCTCCTTCTCGGTTTTTGCTGAGTGCTTTCACACAGCTGCCCAGATCGATGAGATGCAGGCGGCTGCGACCTCCAGACACTGGCACGGGGGAGGAGGCAAGAGGGAAAAAGAGAGAGTGGGTAAGTTCAGGTCCGCACATTTTCTCTTCTTCGTGTAGCTCTTTGGGAATCTTGGAGAAGGGAAAACATTAACATTTGGTGACAGGAACAATTCGAGCTGGGGTTTCAAACAGAACCAGCGCTCTTAAATTCTGTCCACCACATTCCATCCACTGTTTAAAACTTAATGTCACTTATTTGACCAATAAAAGAATGTGTTCTGTAGACTGGATGGGTCCCTGAAGGAGGGAAAGGGCCTTACCCCACTGACCCCCCAATAACAGTTCTGAAAACTGTTTACCAAGTTAAAATCTGAGCAGCTCACGAGTGATTATCTACTCTAGTTTGTCATTGTCAGGTAGCCAACCTAAGGCTCAGCCAGGAATCAGGTTGGTAACCCCAGGAGAAATCTGGAAGATGTAAGATCCAGGTGCAGAGACAGGAAAGACCCAGCTATTTGCTGAGTGCCTGCCAACCGCCAGGTGCACAGACATCCATCTCATTCAGTTCCCACACAAAATCATCCAACACTATCATCCTCTTCTTGTAGATGAGAAAATTAAAGCTCAGAAGAGTTAAGAATTTCCCTCATGAATTCTGGCTGCGATGAAGTAACTGGGACCAGGCTAGGTCTTGTATCCAAAGCAACCAAAAATCAACAGAATGTATAAAATAGTTGGTTTTAAGACACCAGACATTAAACAGGGGAAGAGTGACTCCCGAGACGCATGAAACAAACAAGGTAAACACTCCTGGTCTCACTAACTGTGCTGAGAGAGTTCCCAGGCTCAGTACAAAGAGCTCAGGTCGAACCTGGTAGAGCCACTGAGCTCAAGAGAGATAGAATCCAACTTCTAGGGAAACCAAGGCAGCAACCATGCGCAGGACAGAAAACTAGAAAGGCAAGGCCTGAGGGATTTGCAGTCTCTGGATTCAGCTGAGTGCTCAGCAGCAGTTACATGCGAGAAAGAGCTAACAAAGGGCTGTGGTGCCTGTTCCCAATACCCAGAAAACCTGAAAGTTTATGTGCAAAGATAAATAGGCATAAAAAGAAGCAGGCAGACAATTCCCACCATGAAGAAGTATTTGGAATAAACTCCAAAGCATAGCTATTAGAATCCACAAAGAAGGTGATGGAAAACAGTTACTGTGCCAATGTTCAAAGGCTTAAATACAGACATGGCCATCCTGGGTTGTATAACAAGATGTCTCCATTAAAATAAAAGTGTATATAATAATCTCTAAGAGATTAAAACAAAGGTAAAATTGTGTCTGAGAGTTTACGGCAGGTTACACATTAACACAGGAAAGATTAATAAATTTGATAATATATCAATATAAATCTTCAAAATGAAATAGAGAAAAAATATAAAAGCACACAACAAAAATAAACAAGAAAGAGAGAGAGAGAGCGCAAATGGGTAGGAAATTAAAAGGGCTACCGAACAAGCTCAGCTGTCTAAAATACACATGGTTGAATTTCCAAAGCATGGTACAGCTGCAATATTTGAATAAATAACAGTCCAAACTTTCCCCAAATGATGGAAACTATCAACCCACAAATCTAAAAAGCTCAGTCAGCCCCAAGAACAAGAAAAATGAGCAAATCCAACGAAGCAAGTAATGATTGCGCTACTCAGAGCAGAAGGAGCAGAGAAAATAGCCCAAGGAGTAAAACCACATCTCATACATGGGAATAAGGGTAAGTACGATGGCCGATTTCTCCTCAGAGATAAGTCAGAAGATAGCACAGTGACATTTTTAAAAACCTAAAAATTGTCAAATGAGCAGTCAACATCTGGATTAAGCATCATTCCAAAGCAAAGGAGGAAAAAAAAGACACTTTCCCCCCTTGATGTGGGGCTGGAAAGGTGGCCCGTTGGGTAAGAACACTTGCCATGCAAACAGGAGGGCCCGAATTTGAACACTTGGCAGTCACATAAGAAACCTGGCATGGCTATGAAAGCCTGTATGCACTGTAGAGTGGCGGGGTGCTGGGGGTGGGGTGGGCGGGTAGCACCTAGAAGCTCTCTGACCAGCCAGACTAACAAACAGCCCAGGGTCACTGAGAAAGACCCCGTCTCAAGGGAGCAAGGCAAAGAGCAACAGAGGAAGAGGTGACATGTTCCTTTGGCACACATATAAATATACGTATACTTTCCACACCCACCCCAACATGCTGGCTTCACATAAGGGACATTCAGGTGGCACATGGGTACCTCAACACCTGCAGAAAGAACTCAGAGACCACTCATGAGGGGAGCATATGGATTTGCTGTTGGATAAGAACTGGATGCAATCACCTTGGCGCCTTCCATTTGCATGCCCGCTGCTGGGGGTGAACATTCCAGGAAGGGTAGCACAGCCCTTCAATGTATCCAGCTCGGTGCCACACTTTAGACATGAAGGAAGTTCCTTTTGCTCATTTTCAGCCGTCCCCGGGGGCAACCCCTTAAAAGGAAGGCCGCATTACCTCTCCTCTATCTTGTTTCAGATCATGCAAGATTGGCTCATGGCAGTGATGTGCGAGGGGAATGGTTATTTTTAAACAAAACACCATCTGTATTTTTTGCAGCTCGATTATACAGACAAGAGTGGCTTAGGTATTCCTGACGCATCTCAGATAAAAGGGCAAAGACAGGGACCAATTTGGACTTCCAGACTTAATAGTCCATTTGATGTAATGGAATAAAATGTATAATGTGCACGTAGCAACACAGAACACAGAGAACAAAAGGTGGCTTAGATAGTGCTGGAGAGCTTTATAAAACACCTGTAATTACCTGCATGAGTCAGGACGAGAGGCGCCCTCACACAACGGAGAAAGCTGCTCTCCGGCCTAGACCCACTGGTGTTTGGGTGGTCAGAGAATCTGATTTGTACAAATGGTGCTTAATCCAGACTGGTGCGAAGTCAGTGGGCACAGGCTGTTTGCTAGTGTTGAGCGTCTCCACCACTGCAAGTGGCCAAGTAGACAGGAATTCCGCAAGGACTAAGCAGAAGGGGTGATAGTGACTATAGGCAAGAAGTAGGTTCCTTATCCGCTTCTCAGATTTCTGAGGCCAAGGACACAGGAGTTAAAGGAACGTAGTTGAATCTGTCTTGAGCAACTTTATTATTATTTTTTAAGAGAGTGTCTCATGTATCCCAGGCTGACCTTGAACTCACTATATTTCTGAGAATAATTCTGAACTTCCGATGCCTCTGTCTCAGCCTCCTATGTGCTGGGATCACAGGTATGTGTCACCGCATACAGTTTATGTGCTGCTGGGGACCAAACTAAAGGCTTCGTGCACGCTAGGCAAACGCTCTTCCAACTCGGCGACAGCCTCAGCTCAAAATTCCTTATAGTTTAAGTATAGAGTTGGACCAAACCAAGTTCCCCACACCCTTTATTTTCCCTATAGGGAGTAATTCTTCTAATACCACTCAATGCCAACATTATGCATAAATTGCACTGAAATTATAGATGGGAAAATTGAGATTGAGATCCATACATGCTAAAAAAAAATCATCCATGATTTCACTGAAAATTAATCTTGAGTCAGAGGGAAACCCAAAGTGAACTCTAAAGCATGCATAGCCCCTTACTCATCTTGCGTCCAGGTGGCTTCCAGAGCAGCCCTGGACTGGATGCACCTGGGACCTGTGAAGTACTACCGCCGCCCACGTCCCACTGCCATGCCTTCTCATTGAATTGGGTTGGAGGGCAGCATGGGCACTGGGATTCACATCGAAGTTCTCCAGACAACTGTCACGTGCCGCAAAGTCGAGGGACCACCACCTTCCCCCTGGCTGAGATTGTCACCCTCTCTGTTGCCCAGCGAGACGCTGACTGACAACCACAGCACACCAAATGTGTGCAGCTGCTTTGTTAAGCACTTTGGTTTCTAAAGGACACACTGCCTATCTGTTAAAAGATTGGATACTTATGATACTTGCATTTATTATAATTAAAATATAAATAATACAGAAATCAAATATTATTTTGTAGGGAGTTTGAACATTTATATGTAAATTAAGTTTAATGTTTTGGGAAGGCATTTTAAAGAAAAGATTCAAGTTAAATTAGATGTATGTGAGAAATTAGAGTTGGGAAAAAATGAAAAGAGCCAGAAAAAGGTAGGATCCAGTTGCAACGAATGGATCTTTTAAGTTTTTGAATCTCTTTGAAGAAATTAAAGTTAAAAAAAATGATTAAAATCAGCATGGTTCATGAAAGTTAGAACTTTAAGTGAAAAACTCATCTCTAAGCAAGCCCACATTGCATGCCCCTGAGATCCGTGAATAAATACACATTTGTTATGTATCTTTGAATATGATTCCCCCTTGTTAGTGGACTTTCTCTGTGAACTGATCGTCTTCTGGTAGTGTAATGTATCCATGGCATCAACAGACACTAGGGTGGCTTGCATGCTGTGATAGATATTTAAAACAGAAGGTCAAAAGGTAGAAGACTCTGTTTCATAGGTGTTAGCTCATGGTCATCTGACCCCAGCATGAGGCAAGGCTGAACATCATGGTTGTAAGGATGATCACGTCATTGCAGCCATGAAACGTAAAGACATAGAAAGATTAGGGCCAAGATGTAGCCTTGAAAGCTAGGACCCCTGGCTTTCTAGTGCTTCTTCCAATAAGGCTCCACTTTGATGTCTACCACTTCTTAATTGGCTATTCAAATGTCGGATCTATCGAGACATTAAACCGTTCATTAGGCCACAGCCCTTGGGACCTAGCATCTCTGGAATAGCCCTAACACACACACTCAGGGGTATGCTTGATCCCTTCATTCAAAACCCAAACAAGTTGGTCTTGCTCTCTGAAACTAGCTGTACTAGATGGCAGAGGAAGTCAGGGTTAAAAATGGCCCACATTCCATGGCATGGAATACATAGGTACTAAGCATTGGTGAGTAGGCGTAGGGCCAGCACCACAGAGACCCAAGATGAAAAGCTGAGTCTTCTGTTCTCAGGAAGTACATAGCCTACGAGTCCAGCAAGCCACTCTGGGGTTCTAAGGAGAAAATTATTGCACAGAAAGAAGAATCTGGAAAGCTGCGAGGAGGAGGCTTTTATGGAGAAAACGGGCTCAAGAACTCACTATGTCTTTCCCTTCCTTCCACCCTGAAGTGAGGTAGTTCTGACATTGATGGTGGGAGAGATTAAAGATATGAGCATAGAGTCAGTACTGTTGCTTCATAACTGACTCTGGTTAGGGAGCTAACTAACCAGTCCTGTAGGGTGCAGCCATCTTCCTGTTCAGGGCTTTGCTGCTGGGGACAGTAGCAGGGGCTGTGATGGTTTGAAAGAAAATGGTCCCCCAAAGGGAGTGGCACAATTAGGAGGTGTGGCCTTGGAGAGTAGGTGTGGTCTTGTTGGAGGAAGTGTGTCACTGTGGGGTTGGGCTTTGAGGTGTCTTTTGCCCAAGCTTCACTCAGTGTGACACTGAGACCACTTCCTGTTGCCTTCTGATCAAGATGTAGCCAGCACCGTGTCTGCCTGCATGCTGCTCACTATGATGATAATGAACTGAACTTCTGAAACTGTAAGTGAGCCACCTCAATCGATTGCTTTCCTTATAAGAGTTGCCGTGGTCATGGTTTCTCTTCATAGCAATAGAAACCCTGACTAAGACAGGGCTCACCCCCTTTTTAGAAGCACGTTTATAAGACAGATGAAGGATCCATAGAACAGTGTAACTACACAGCTCTGGGTAGGGCATGGGTGACTGAGGTCATCATAACCTTTGTAAAGACAGTGTTTGACCCCTATCAGAAAGCCAAGATGAAGGAAACTGTCTGATTATTCTGGTGACCAGATGAGCGCTGGTGCAGGTGCCTGTGTAAGTACATTCATGCATGTTCATGTGGCCAGCCTTGCCCACGGTGGTTTCCCAGGAGGAAGCAATGTGAATGAATATATCAGAGTCCCAGTGTTAGCTGTCAGTGGACAAGCTTGTTCGTCAAAATATCATTACAGAGATGCTTTGGAATATTCTATTTTTATTATGCTTATGTATGGTGCATGTCATGAGAACAGTTAGGTGCAGGCTGTGGCAAGTGTGGAATCATTTCTCCCGTCCACCATGATTTCTGAGCCGGGAATGCAGGTCATGTTTATGTGGTAAGCACTTTTACCTTCGGAGCCATCTCATCAGCCCATACACAAATGCTTTTAAGGATCACGCTTACAAAGAAGACAAGGAAGACTGGTTTCACTGGCTCACTTGTGGAATATTTAACTATGCAAAGATGTGTTACATTTGCTTCTGGTGCAGAATATTTAACTCTGTGGAGCTGTGTTACACTTGTTTCTGCTGCCTTTGCTAGTGATGTAACGGTGTGTTGCAATTGTTTCACCTTGCCTGCCTAAGGCACTTGATTGGTCTAATAAAAAGCCAAGTGGCCAATAGCTCGGCAGGAGAGGGATAGGCAGAGCTGGCAGGTAGAGAGAATAGGTAGAAGGAGAAATCTAGGCAGAAGAAATAAGAATGAGAGATGAGAACGAAGAAAAAAGAGAGAGTCCTGCCCAGGGTCAGAAGCCAGGCAGCTGCCAGCCAGTCAGCCATGGAGACATCAGGAAAGTAGGATATACAGAAGGGAAGGTAAGAAGGCAAAACACAGAGAAAGAGAAACAGATTAGAATAATAACCAAGATAAGACTGAGCACTCATAACTAATAACAAGTCTCTGCGTCATGGTTTGGGAGCTGGTTAGTGGTCCACAAGAAAGCCTGCTACAGTTCACCACTCTGAAGTAACACGGTATCCGTCATGAGGAGTAGCACTTGCTTATTTGGGGCCTCTCTCCAGTGCTGAATTTGCATGGAGCCTACCAGCCTTTATAGATTCAACAGTCAAGACTTATCAGTGGAGAGAACCAGCTCTGCTGATATTCCAATAGCAACTAGAGAGCTATTTTAAGCCCAACCTGATGCTATCTACAAAACAGTGATAACATCGACAAAGAATGCTCTTTTCTATCCTGACCAGACAGTTCAAGTCATCTACCTGTATAGGTGTGTGTGTGTGTGTGTGTGTGTGTGTGTGTACATATACTGCAGAGATGGGCCTACGACACTGAGCATATTCACACACTATGTATTTAGTTCTTGCAGCAGAGATCGCCCCTGAATCCATCATCAGGCTAAGCCTGTCCCAGTTGGTTAACAACCCTGCTTCCTGCTTCCCCGCAGGGTGACTAATTAATAAACCTTCCCTTAATTGAGTTCTGGCTGCCAAGTCCACGGGGATTATAATTTATATATAAGTAAACAAAATTTCCATTTTAAACAACACTCCAAATCTTCTCATTATGGGTTAGCCACATAAATCCACTGAAATCCTGCCGGGCCTGAAGGCAGGGTCTGATCCTTTGCCTCTGAGATGATGGGGCCCTGGCAGGTGGGAGGGGTTTGTCCTTTGCCGGTTGCAGCCTGGACCCTTTCCTTCTCCCACCTAGTTTGCTGCAACACTGGACAAGCCCCTGAGAGGTTTGGAAGCCTTTGGTGGCATCTGCCTTTTCCTTTGGCCTGAATTTATTATTTAAAAGCAATTTTCGTGCACAGCTTAAAAATAAAAAGATGAATTGGATGTTAAATATTTAATAAGTGCTTAGGATTTGGTAGGACCAATCTGGGAACAAGTCTTCAGTTTTAGCAAATGTTCTTTTAAATCATTGTGGAGTCAGAAATTCAAATTTTTACATTTGAAGTACTTCAGGGAAATCTTTCTGCATGTTCATTGTTAGCTATAGCTTCCAGACTCTAAGTTGCAAACAAGACCAAGAAATAAAAACTGAAAGACCAAAAGAGAGTTGCTAGCTTAGTGTACAACTTAGAGGGGCATTGTTCCACTCCCTGGGCCCCTCTGCTTGGTGCCTTTGGGAGCCCTGGTCTCGGGACCCAAAGCTGTTGGGAGTTTCCATTGCTGGCCATCTAAGAACTCACTGAAGGCTATGATGATTCTTAGTATTGACCGCTGTTTAAATGGCTAAACTAGTAAGTGTTCCAACTCTCACATCGACTCTGCTAAGACCTTACCCAGAACAAGCAGCAAGGGCAGGATTTGTAGCCGGCTCCCAGGGCTGCTGGGGGAAATGCAGCTGACTTCTGAGCTCAGGGTCTCCCACCTCCTAATCCCTGTTTCCGGCCTCGACAATGTTGTGCTGAATGGCAGTGCTTGACATGGTGCGAACTCCCCTTTGAGAATTAGTGTCCCATTCAACACGTCTCTCTGGATTTAACCCCCAAATAGAGGGCATACCTGTGAGGGATTTCTGCTTATTTTGAAGAAGAGAGATCTGTTTCTAATAGATCTAAATATCTAACTTGGATCTTTGAGGTAGGAAGACAAAGCTTTAATGCAGGTATTAATCCAGATCTAATCCGAGCCACACCTTCCGCTGCAAGCCTATACAAAGACGTGGAAGAAGAAAGCATTTGCCCTTTGCCTGCTTGCTCTCATGTTGCTAACCAGTCTGTTCATTCACTAGCATGGCAGCCTGCTTCTCCAGGGTTCCAGCTTTAACACAGCTAGGATATCTAGCCTCATGGACTGAGCAACTACTGGACTCTTGGGCCTTCCTTCAGAGGCAGCCATTGCGGGATTAGCTGGACCACAGCCTGTAAATCATTCTGTAAGTCCCCATTTTCTCTCACCATATATATACAAATACATATATATTCATTCTATAAGGTCTGTTATTCTAGAGAATTCTGATTAATACAGGTCGTGACCCCTATGCAACTTGTGAACAGAAAGATCTAGTAGACGTTTTTCTTTTTTTAATTCCTTTTCTCACACATCCAAGGCAATGGCATTGGTAAATCATTGCCAAAGCCAACCTTTTGCTTCTGTACAATTCAAAAGAGAACTTGTGCCTAGAATCTACAATTCTCTTGCATTCCAGACCACTGAGCTGCTGCAAGTGGGTACCATACCCTCTGCTAAGGAAGAGTGTTGCTGCCTTAGGTGAGGGGTGCTGGCTGGCCAGAGCCAGGCATGGAGTCAGCTAGGAGGGACTTACTTCCGCCCTTCCCACTCTTCTCCATCCGGTACTGGTAGATGTGCAGGGTGAAGAGCATGTGGGAGTTCCGGTGGTCATCTTCATCGCAGTCCTGTTGGTTGCTCCGTCGCGAGGCAATGGCAGCATCCAGGAAGAAGGCCGCCTTCTCTGCGGTGGGGGCCCGCAGCTCGCTCTGGTTCTGCAGCTGGAGGACAGAAAGCAAGAGCTGAGACCTTCAGGCTTCTCTCCTGCCTGGGGAAGTCTCAGTCCACACCGTAAGGTCAGAAGTCCTGAAACCAGGTTCTATACACATGGGCCATTCTCAGCATAGCCATTTTTTTTCTTTTTCCATTTTCATGTATGTGGTATACACGTGTACATATGCATGTTTGCATATATGTGGGCACACTTGTGTGCATGTAGACACCTGAGGTCGATATGGGAATTATCCTTGATTGTTCACTGTGGCAGGGTATCTCAACTAATTCCAGAATTCCAGATACAAATAGTCTCTTGGCTAGCCTGCTCTGTCTCACTTTAGAAAAGTTGTTCTCAACCTGAGGGTTTTGATCCTTTGGGGTGGAATAACCCTTTCACAGGGGTCATCTAAGACCACTGGAAAACACAGATATTTACATTGTGATTCGTAACAGTAGGACAATTGTAGTTATGAAGTAGCAACAAAATAATGTTATGGTTTGAAGTCACTACAGCATGAGGAACTGTGTTAAAAGTTTGCAGCATTAGGATGGTTGAGAACCAATTTTGGGGTTAGAATCGGAGGCAGGCTGTCAGGTCCACCCAGTGTTTACTTGGGTTCTGGGGCTCTGAATGCTAATTCTCGCACTTTTGTTGCTAGCACTTTAATGGCCAAGGCAGCCCAGCTTAGTTGATTTGCTTCTGAAAATGAATATTGACCACATTTATTGGCTGTTACTTGGCTTTAGTTATTTTTACAGCTGGCAAGTGGCCATACGGCGTACGGGGCACTAGTAGCAGCACATGCCCATCTTTAGGGACTGCCGTCCTAGGTCGTTCATCTACTAACAGAAGAGATGCGACTAGGTCTTGACCTCGGAGATTGGAGACAGATGCTGCGAGATGTGTTTTTACATCTGACAGGGAAGAGACTTGCCTAGTGTTCATTGCCGATCTCTCAGTTACTTAACAAAAGCTAATTTGAGGTCACATTTACCAGCACAGTCCTGAACATTCAGAAGTACACCTGATGTACTTCTTGACAATTATGACAGTCCTAATTGTCAACTTGACAGAATGTAGAATCACTTAAGAGATGGGCCTTTGGGTATGACTCTTAGGGCTATCTCAATCATCACGTAACTGAGGTGGGAAGACCCGCCCGTATGACTGTGACCAGCTGCTTCAGGCTCCTGCCGCCTTGGTGATGGCCTTCATCTGGGAGTCATAATAAAGACTTTCTCTGTCAAGTTGCTTTTGTTGGGGTATTTTATCATGGCAACGGAACACTCTCTAAAAGGCATGTAGAAACACCTAGGTAACTTGAAGGTCTCATCTGTATTTAAGAGACATCTGTTTTTGTTTTAGTTCCTGATCCTGAATTTATGCTCAGGGCAAACTCGCAAGTGATTAGCAAAGACGCTGTGGGAGCTGTGTCAAAATCTTGTGAGAACACTGGGTCTGAATCCCAGAACTCCCCTTTGTGGCAGAAAAGGAAATCTACTTTTTGGTTTGGTTGAGACAAGCTCTTGTTCTCCCTCACGCTCCCCATCTTCTCTCCATAGCGAGTCAAATGCTGGCATGGCAGATGCATGCCTGATTTAGCTTGAATTTTTCAAGAAACTGATTTGCAACATGTCTTAGGATTGGTACAAATTACGACAATTTTCTACTCTGACTTCAACCACACCTATAATTTCCAACTGCGAGAAGCAATATTTGGTGCAGGCAGGATTTGCAAGCTAAGACCATCTTTAAAAACTTTGAACTTCGAAGGGTTTTTTAGCGGATGTGTGTGCTTTTGAACTTACTATCCAACCTAAACTAAAGAATCACAAACACTTTCAAGAAGAGTTTCAAGAGACCATTACTTTCATCTTATTTACCTTCCATTAAACAGATCTTTACTTAAGAGAACTCACAAATAAATCTAAATTAAAATGTGCTTGATTACCCTGTCAAGCTTGCAGCAGGAGCAGTAGCCAGGGTGCTCCTGCCCCCATCATGGGGGCTGTGCATCAGCATCAATACATATGTTATGCTTCAGAGTAACAACTCCCTGGATCATAGGGAACTCACTAGAAGTGCGCAGTGAGGAGTGAAAAGCTTTACCACATATGGAACCAGACACTCTCCAGGCAACTCTGGTGATACTGCAAGGGTTTCCAAAGGAACCTGGGAGGTTCTGAGTACCTCTAACAGGGGCTGAGCAGGGCCAGGCTTGCAATGCTGGCTCTGGGGCATTCCCACCCACAGAAATGATCCACCTGAGAGGAGGTGGGTATTTATCAAAGAGATACCTTCTGAAACAGGAGGCACTTGGGATGCCTACTGCAGGGGACTGGCAGAATTGACTTTCTGGATATGAACCAGAAGAGCCATGAAGTCATCACATGTTACACAGCGAAAGACAGAGGCACTCACTACAGGCCTGACTTCCTGAAAAGGCGAACAAGAGCTTCTCTTGGCTTCCATGGTTCTCCCAATTATATCACGGTTCTAATTAGAAATCGGTTATTAGTTTTCCCACAGCACTGCTAATCCGGTTGTAAAGCTGTGCCAGAAACACAGTTTATAGAGCCATAAACAGCCCCAGGAATGGCTGCAGCTATGTGTGCAGAGCAGTAAATATTTCAGTTTGTTGTTAAACAAAAGGAAGATTGTGCTTCCCCCCCACCCTTTCTCAAAAGGCGTCAAGAAAGTGGAAGCGATTTCCCCCAAAATGCTATGACAATTGTAGTTTCTGCTCATTGTCAGTTAGATTCAAGGTACAAATATTTAGGTTGGGCGAGCAGATGGTCCCACAGCTGCAGGCCATAAAGTTCCAGTCCACTTAAAAGTAAACACTCATAAGCCTTTCCCGGTTTGCATGGTACGTGACTCCAGGGCTAAGATGTCCCATCCTCCAGAGGGGAGACGAACCACCCACACCTAAGCCAAGCTTCTGAAGCTGTCACCTGTGTGCCACAGATGGGGTCCTCACAGAGGTACACGCCTGGAGACTGTCCGTCCTGGAGGCTGCCTGTGGCCACCTCGGACAGCAGGTCCCGAAGGTTCTCCTCTTTGCCCCACACCTCAACAGCTGAGATCCGGACTGAGAATCGGGCCCCAGTCTTTTCTTTGCGCTCATTGATGAGCTTGAAGAGCCAAGAAATAGCACATGGAATGATGCCCAGGTTTTGCATCGAGTCGTCCCTTCCAATCATGGTGTAGGATTTCCCTGTGGGGGCCGGGGAAGAAAGCGACACAGTTGGAGAGGCCAGACATCACTCTCTATAGCCGCAAGAAACAGATGCCGAGGACGCAGGAGGAACGTGTGGGGAACTGGGAAGAAGGCAAGAGTGAAAAGACCAGAAAAACAGCCAACATTTCCTTGTAGTGGTGATGAAACAGCTATAGGAAAACGTGAGAGCCCAAACAAATGACAAGATGAAAGCACACGATACCTCGCAGAGGACCTCAGACATGGCAGGTTATGTGCTTTCTCCATTGTTCCACATGAGGGAGGAAGCTAGGGCTTTCCATCACCGTTACAATCCTTTTTATAGCCACCCCACAGATTAAATCCACACACTCGGGCTTTATATCCTTTCTCAAGTTAAATGCTGTGTATTTTTTTTATAGTGTGAGCAAATTCCATTAAAATCAGGATCCCCGCTTTGATCTGTGATCAAGAAGTGAAGAAAGGAGTGGGGGCGGGGCATGTAATAGGCTCTCTGATCACAGGGGATGGGCCACTGTGCTCTCTGCAAGGCCTCTGGGATGATCCCTTCTACTGGGGACCACTTTTTGAGCTTCCCAAATTGCTAACTCATTCTGCATGTCAGACAAGGCCTGGGTGGAAACAGAGGGCTATAGGTGAGGACAGGGAAGAGGGTGTGGAGGGGATTTAAGCCAGTCCTATGCAGGGCTAGCTGGTGGCTCCTTTCCACATGCGCAGACAGGGAGGACCCTCGCAGTCTGAATGCTGGAGGCAAGGACAGCTTTGCTTCTCCCACTTGGGGCTCTGCTTGGAGATGCCTCCATTAGCTCTGCACACCTAAATCTGCTCCTCAGACATCCCCTGTTGAGGACATGCACACCTTTCCTGCTCACCTTCTGGGACTGCCTATGACCTAGACCAAGCAGGAACACTTTTGCTACTCCGTTGTTTCCCCCTACATGAATAGGTGTCCACTTAGGACCGACCCTTCCAAGCCAGGCGTGGTTGTTCGCTATCATTCTGTTTGGCACCAAAAGGGGACTTAGCCCTTTCTTTCCTCGAAGACCCTAGACCCAACCCTGAAACACAGACGAGATGACAGGAAACATAACAACGTGCCACACAAGAAGTGGAGTTTTCACTCACCCAGCTTGGCGTGGCCAAAACAGAACACACAGCCATCTGCCCCATTCACCACCGACTGGATCACCTCAGCCACTGTTCCGGCACATACTTCAGCCTGGAAGACACAAGAGGAGGCACAGGTGGTAAATGAGCCATGCAGCACCCTGAGGTGCCTTGACGACACAGAAGTGAGTCTACCTTCCCAAGGCTTAGAGCCCAAGTGCCACCACACTCCCAGATGGTCCAGCCTCTGCCACAAAATTCTGAGGGAACTCGGAAACCTTTGGGATCTTCCATTCTTTGCTAGCCTGCGTGTCAAGCACATTGGTTCTATGCGTCCCTTCCGTTAACTGACGGTGCTCTCCAGCCTTAGATAGATAAAGTAGGTAGGGATTGCAGGGGGAGAATGTGATGGGTTCTGGATCCTATTCCCCTCTGTCACCTAGCACTCTGAATTTCAGCCTCCTGGGCAAGGCACTCAACTCTCTACTGACCCTCTCTGCCCACTAGAATCTTACCCCCCACACACACATGCATGCACACACACACACATATGCATGCATGCACACATATTACACACACATCTCTGAAACAAGGTAGCCATACTAGAGGGGAAAACATGACTGCCATTTCAGGATGGAATGTAACAGAGGAACATCTTAATTGTAACAGATTTGAGAATTTCCAGACCTACATCTGCTTCCTCGCCCTCCCTCCTTTCTTTGCTCATGTCCCACATTTGAAAACCTCTCTTCCTATCCAAGCACTCACTGTAAACAGCATCAATTGCCCACACCGGTGTGTTATCTGAAGCGCTCTTTAGCTGAGTGCGCCTCATCTTCAGGGTGCTTATTACACTCTTTACACAGAGACCAGGTTCTCCATCCCTTCTTTGCCCCCCTCTCTCTGCTTTAATGCCAGATGACAGTGCATGCAGCAAACTAGAGGCATCCAACCAGGTTTGTGGACCACCTCAGAGATCCGGAAAATCCCCAGTTAGCATCTGAGGCTTTCACAGCAGCGGGAGGACAGAATTATTTTCCCTGTCTCGGTGCCTCGCCTTCGCTTCTGTCTCGGGGCTGGTGTCAGAGCCCACAGAGGCCCCGAGAGCCGTCAAACGCTGGGGCTCTGCAGCCATCAGAGCAATGTGCCTCCCAGTGGGAATCTGAAAAGCAGCAGTCTGGGCCATGAATGTAGTTATTCAGCTCCATGGCGCAGCTGTGCAATGAATCTAAGTATCTGGAAATCAATTTTCTCTCCCAAACTGAAATTGAAAAAACCGCACTCCCAACAACTGTCAATTGTTCAGGGGTGGTCGCCTCAGCAGCTCTTCAGGGGTCCCCCTCAGCCAAGGGGATGGAGGGATGGGGATATGTGAGGCCCATGAGATTTTATGCAAGTTCCAGGACTGAGGCAACAAGAGCCAGGACAGCATTAAAGCTGAGACTAAAGCAGTAGAAGGAATTGGCCAGAGATGTCTCCGCAAGAGCAGGGAAAATCTACTGCCCAGGAGTCTGCCTTTGAGTATGAAAGGAGGTAGGGTTGGGAGACTGTCAGTTGCTGGGCCACACATAATATGAACCACGAGAGTCTTAAGTCACCTAGGAGAATCTGGGTTGTATGTGGAACAAACTGACGTTGAAGTCACCAGCACAGAGGCCAAGGGACAGTAGAGACACAGGAATGGCCTCATAGAGTGTAGGGAGGTCTGCACATTGCCCTGTAGAGCTTCTGCCTCGCTGTTCACAGAGAAGAGAATGATGAGAGATTTGCTTATGTTGGATGGTTAAGGGATGACAATGACCTATAGAAACTCCCTACTGTCCTTCCCCATACACCCAGAGAAGCAGAAGGCCTCCTAAGCACACAAGCTATGGCAGAAACAGCTCTGCCCAAGGCCCTGCTCACTCACCTACAGGTCGGAGTCCTCCCCACCTACCCCTAAGACAGATCCAGTGAGGTTTGTACCAACCGTGGGTAACCATGCTGCCAAAGCTGTTTGGGGGTAACAAGGATGGCTCCTAATGGCAAGAAGGAATAGGACCAATCTTATCATTACTCAGTGCCAAGGAGATGGTGTTCTTAGAGAGAGGAGAACAGAGTTCGTAGACGCCTGGGGTCACCACAGCGACAGCTGATGCACAGGCAAGGACCTGAGAGTGGCCCTTGATTCTTGGCCAGTGGAATACAGTGTTAATGATGATGCCTCCATTCTAAGTCCGCACAGCTAGGCCCTGGACACTGCCATGTCCTCAAACCCAGGCTAGCCCGCTGGACAGAAGGAGACAATACAGATACAAGAACAGGTGACCCAGACAAAGCTACTCCTCACACTTACTCATTTTTTGCCTTGAGGCTTACGGGTGCCAAGCCTATGGGGCTGAGCTGGCTATAATGGCTTTAACTAGTGGTATGAGATTAATGATTATGGTGTCATCTTAATAAAGACAGTGCCCGCTGTCCTAGCAGTCAATGAGGCATATATTTTTGTCATATAAGGACATTGAGACCCAGAGAGCTGAGCGGCTCGCCCAGTGACACACTGCTAGGAAAGGCTGGCTCACATGCTGACAGGTCAGAGACCTGCTGTATTGAGCGGATGAATGCGGTGAATGAGGAGGTGGAGGGATCCAGGGAGAAGCTAAGGTGACAAGGGTCACTGGTGGAGTCTCACTTTCCTTGTCTGTAGTGTGAAAAGAATTAAAAATGCCCCTTTCTACCCAAAAGAATCCAAGGGAGAGTCCATGGCTTAGTGCCCATGGAAGTTCTTGGAAAGCGCAGAATCTATACTGTTAGACTCCTGTGGAAACCTCAGAATCCATACTGTTAGACTCCCGTGGAAAGCAGAACATTCTGAAGTCTTTGAAATTGCAGCTACGAGCATCCTGAGCCTGGGAACCAAGCGAGAAATGTAAACAAAGACTAGCAATAAAAATGGCTTCTTTTTTTTCTGGAATAAATCTAAAACTCGTTAATAGTTCAGGTTTAATTTAGGGTGTGCTTTGGAATCCTTACAACTTCCCCAGATAGCTCTTGAAAAGTTTTACCCCTGTTAATTAAATTATTTGTAGGCTATTTATTAGCCCCGGTGTCAGGTTTAAATTACCCAACCCATTGGGAGGTGCGACATAAAAAGTGAAATGAACAGGGAAACTGCAAAACTGAATCACCAAGGACCTTATCTTCCTATGGGAAAACCTGAGAACCAGCATTCAGCTTCCCGATGGATGGCACCCGCGTGCCCTAGTGCCTGCTGGTGGAAGGCGGGAGTTATGCAAACACCAGTAGCCTTGAAATCACATACAACACTGACTAACAGGCTGCAAATGGGACGGTGGGAGCTAAGATCCTAGGTCAGCTGCAGCCTTAACTCACGTACTGTGAAGAGCGCTGCATAAATCTTGGGAAGTACCTAAAAGTTTCTCAGAAAGGTACAGGCCCCTGATGGCTATGCAGACAAAGAGGCCCCCATCTGTCTATATCATGGTTTATTCACATATGGGCCTATTCACTGATTGTTGGTATTGAGGACTAAACCCGAGGCTGGGTGTGCAGCAACATCTGATTGCTATCCCAAGCTCTCCAGTTCCATGTTTCTCCACTGACTCTGGCTGCAGGATACACACCAGCCCCAGTTCCCCTACTGAGCACTCCACGTCCTCACTGGGACTATCGTTCTGATTTCCCCTCCCCGTGGGTATAAGACATTGCCTGACTTTAATTCGGTTTCCTGAAACATTTCCCTTGTTACAAAGCCAGGCAGGAGGAGCGCTCTAATGGATCAGTCCCTAGCATTTTATTGTAGTTTCCCCCATGACATTCAACTTTTCCTGTTAGCTGCCTTGTTTCTTCTCCCCAGGCATGAATTTCAAGGTTGTGTGTGTGTTTGTGTGTGTGTGTGTGCATGTTAGAGGTTGGTATTGGGTGTTCTCTCTTTGTCTCTGCCTCTCTTTGTCTCTGTCTATCTGTCTGCCTCTCTCTCTCTCTCTCTCTCTCTCTCTCTCTCTCTTCTCTCACTGATCCTGGAGCTCATCCATTTGGTAAGACTAGCTGGTCTTTGAGCTCCAGAGACCCTTTCTTTACCTCCCCTGCACTAGGATTAACCATGCCAGTATCTCAGAATATCTGGGGTATTCTGGGAAGCTCAGAATGACTTCCAAACACGGTGATATGGATGGAGACCTTGCCCGTCAGAGTATCCCAGGAAACACCCTCCCGGTTCACACTCCATTAACCAACACTATGTAGCCCGGAGGGGACTTTTGCCCACCTGAGAAGCATCTTGTGGGAAAACCGCATCAAAGGCAAACATCTTCGGAGGAACCTGGTTGCTTCTTTTCTGGAAGGCATTTTGGCCTCCACAGGTCAGGGGGTCATACAAGGTGATCTGCTTCTTCCGTGGATCCACCTTCAGGAAAGAGCTGGATTCTGAGGTATCTCGAGCAGATGTGGGACAGATACGGAGCATGACTTTCACCTGTTAAAAACCAAACATGGCCACAACATGGATCAGAGAGCTGGCTATTTAACAGCGGAGTGGTCTTCTGCACGCGATGGTATACTTATTCATGGTAGTAGTGAACATTTTCATGATACATCATGGTGAAATACACAATGAATCATCCACCTAATCCTCACTGGGTCAGGGGAAGGATGGTTTATTTATAATTACCGGTAGAATATTTTGATATGTCCATTAATGCAGAGAAGGCACACTACGTTCTTTGTCTTCCTATTAATATATATTAAAAATTAACTGTGCTCTGGTGGCCCAATTACATAGATGAAAAGCTAATCTGGACTGTCAGGCTATAGGGGCTGGTGCAGTTCTCTTGAAGCTCAAAGATCAATAAACCATGCACATAAAAGTTAGCTTCGTAATTTACTCCCCAGCTCAGCTCATCGGGGCTCTGGGAGACAAAAATCCACAGTTATTAGTGTCATCATTAAAGCCCCATGAAACGGCCTGTTTTTAATGGCCAGCATTTGAAATGCATTTCAAGGGGCAAGTGTGATAAAAGATTTCGTTTGCAACATGTTATTTGGGATCCCATTACATGAGCAAGAAGAAGCTTCATTTGGGGGGATGACAGCGTGTCTCCATCGAAATCAGGAGGCAGTGCACGCTCGCCCACCTTCAGAGTCACGGAACATAAGCATCTCTAGTGCTTATGACCAGTTCAGCTCCGCCCCACGGATGAGGGCAGCGGCAGTCACAGAAATGGACCACCTGCTTTGTAGTCCTAAGATGGGCAGAAATCAAACAGAAGGCTAACAGTGACCTGCAAGCCAGTCCTGGGAGATTGATTTAGCTCTGTTCTCAGCTATTTCTTTTATTTTTGCTATGTTGTTTATTGAGTCCAGCATGCGAAAGGCACACAATGCAGATGTGTGGGGCAGACAGCTGCAGAGACAGGTGATTTTAGTAATTTAATGTGGCAGGTAGTGGATGCTCAAGGATGATGCGTCTTCAATTCCTGTCCTCTGTCTGGCTAGCTGTTCGAACTGATGTAGCTCCCATCATTCTTTGGGGGCAAGACATGGTTATAATTTGTGCATGTGTGCGGGTGTGTGTGTGTGTGTGTTGTAAACACACATGGGTTCTCGTGTGTGAGTACACATGTATATGGTTGCATGTGTGCATACGTGCATGGCCAAAGGTTGATGTTGGGAGGCTTCCTTGATCACTCTCCACCATATATGTCAGTGAAGAGCCTACCATTTGACCGCAGAGCTTGGCAATCAGACTGGTGCAGCTAAGGCTACTTGCTCCAGGGATCCCCTATCTCTGCCTTCCATGTGCTGGGTTACAGGCGGGCCTTCACGGCCCACCTAAAATTTAGCCGGGTGCTGGGGACTCAAACTCTGGTTGCCATGCTTTCGTGGCAAGTTCTTTACTGTTCCAGCCATCTCCAAAGCCCCTGGCCACCCATGTTTTAATAAGACATTTCAAACATACAGGAATGTTCAGAGAATAGTGCATATCATGCACCGTGGAGTAAGGTCGTCCTCTTGCGCATCTCAGCCCCATTTGCTGAGACCTGGGAACTAACCTCCAGTGTACAGAGTTCAAGCAGGAATAATTCCAAGGGTACCAGGCTCATCAGATGTCTAGTGCTATACCCTATCTATGATTCTCTTTATAGTCACCATATCCAGTGTGGAATGGAAGTCAGGGGTCATGATGAAAGGATACCGTTGGCCTCCCAGCATTAAGACTGTGCTTCTCCTATGTGAGACCATAAAATGGTCTAGTGCTATACCCTATCTATGATTCTCTTTATAGTCACCATATCCAGTGTGGAATGGAAGTCAGGGGTCATGATGAAAGGATACCGTTGGCCTCCCAGCATTAAGACTGTGCTTCTCCTATGTGAGACCATAAAATACTCACTGCCATTTGGAGGTGAGGGTCTGTGTTGTACACGCAGCCTGTGCCATCATCTATGTGATCTTATTTAGTCCTCCTGGTGATGCAGAGCATTGGCACACTTACCCAGATTTTACGGTGGAGGAAATAGATACCACATACTGTTGTATTATAGCTACATTCTGTTGCTGTGATAGAACATTCTGCCTAAAATCAACTTGGGGGAGGAGAGGATTTATTTGGCTTACACTTCCTGGTTGCAGTCCATTATTGAGGGAAGGAAAGGCAGGAAACTGAAGCAAGAACCTTGAAGGAACACTGCTGACTTGCTTTCTGAATCACGTGTTGGTTCACTCTTACCTAGCTTTCATACCTAGCCCAGGACAACCTGCCTAGGAATGGTTCCACCCACAATGCTAGGTCCTTTCTGCGTCAGATAATAAGACAGGCCCTCACAGACATGCCCACAGACCAACCTGACAAAGATACTCAATTGAGGACTCTTTATTTGGGTTATTCTAGGCTGAATCGGGTTGACAGTTCATACTAACAAGGCCACACACTTTGGCCTATATTGCTGTAGCTGTAGAGGGTAGGGCTGGACCAGACTTATATCTAGGGCCCCATGCTTTCTCCAGCTGGCTTCTACCTCCCCTAGGCAAACTTCTGGGAGCCTCATTTCCCCACCTGTTTAACAATGCCTGCCAAACAAAACTGCCGCGGGACTTGTAAAAGTTGCTGTGTGAGGCGCTGAACGTGGAGCAGAGAGCACAGAGAACTCGATTCCCGTTCTCTACCTGCCTTCCTCTGGACCTGACAGACTATTAGTTTTCAATGACAATGCTGATGATAAAGCTACATAATGCCTTGCCTTGGTTTGTGGGTACCATGTCACACAAAGAGGATCCTAGGACAGATACTATAAATATGGATAGTTCCTAAGCACAAGATATGACTAGGATCCTACCTTTAAGCCCCACAGCCACTGTGTGCTGGCCAATAGCCACTGTCTGCCACTGGGTCATATCCTTGTTCCCCAGCGCTCTCTATAGCCTGATATTTTAACTCCACTCATGAATAGGTTTATCCCAGTTATACCACAGTATGCTCCAAGCAGGTATCCACAGAGCTGCTTCTGATAGGTGACTGGGTCCCCCATGCTTTCTGCGAGTGTCTCTCCCCATCCAGCTATGAACCACGCAAGTCAAGGATGCTGCGACTCCAGGCAGAACTGATGGAGCCCCACGGCCCGCTGCTTTTCTATTTCGCAATTTTGCATGCCATTCCTAGGTAACTAGAGGTGCTGAATGTGAAATGTCAGCTGGGCTAGGCAGAAGCCCACGTGGGGAAGAAGGCAGGCAGGCCCTGGCTCAGTCAGCCATCTGAGCGGGAAGCATATGCCTGCATCTTAATGAAGCACACGGCCCTTTTCTGCAGATGAGCTAAGGCCCCAGCCTGAAGTCTAGCTAAGGAGATACACAGTTCCTTAAAATCCCATTGAACTCGGAGCTGGGGAAAATGCCACATTTCATTCTTTTCTCTGCAATTCATTTAAATAAATGGAGGGCTTTCCCCCTCCTAGGAAGGAAATTGGGTTTTTCTGCTTGGCCTCCTTTTTGTCATTAGTCCTTTAGTCCTGCACTTCACTTCCTGCTTAATCCTCTGTAATTAAAGAGCTTAAGAGACACCACTTATGATCAAGAAAGTTCCTCGGACGGCTTGCCAGGAGCCCTTGCTTTTGTTGCAAACACTGTTAGATTCTTGGCAAAATCTTCGACCCTGCCCTCTGCCCTGCTCCTCCTGGAGAGTAAGAGCCGCCAGGCACATTCAGAGATGAGCTCAGCTCTCAGGGTCAAGACCACAGTCACTTCCAAGAGTGGACCCGGGACAATGGGATCAGATAGTTAAAAGGACAGTCTGAGAGGTGGAAAGGAGGGGCAGACGCCCAGAGGGGAGACTGGCAGTGGGAACCAAAGGCCTCTCTGCCTGGGAGCCACTTTGCCTCATTTGTTTAATTACTCAGAGGCTGGTGCGAGACAGCTGTTGCTCAGGGCAGCCGTGGTCTTTATGTTTGCTCATTAATCTTTTCAACACTTCAGGTGGATGGCATCCTGAGGCCGGAGAGAAAGGGATCGTGAGATACGCATTGAGCGGGACTTAGCGCCACTCTCCCAAGCTGCACACACATCAACGAGGAGGTGACAGCCGGCTACCACCCATTGTATAGAAGGCCGAGTGGGCCCTGTGATCACTTGCTGTTGCCACTGGCACATATGGTCCTGGTCAGCAGACACTGTTGTCGGTCGCTAGTTATCACGGCACAGACCTAGTAAGACTCTTTGTTGTCTGTTTCTCTCCCCAGGATCTGTTGACCTGGAGGACTGGGTTCAGCTATACACTCTGGAGGGCTTTGAGCAGGCTGATGGATCAAAGGGTCTCTCACCAATCAGAAAGACTAGACAAGGCAACAAGGGGCAAAGAATTCTGTGTTTTCTCTCATGTAGGAGCTCCTTCTGTGAACACCCACAGTGAACGCCCCTCAAGGACAAGTGTTAGACCAGGGACTCCTCAGCCAGTCGACTGTCATCAACGCTGGGTAAGAAGGTGGCTTTCCTACTCAGAGACATGGAGTCCAGCATTAGATGAACCACTGCATCTTTCCAACCCTTTCTACCTCCGTATTCTAATTCCCTTAACACGGCTGTTTAAGAATCAGCTAAGTAGAAACTGGCCAAGGTGTAGATGCAGCAACCGACTCAAATTGCTGTTTAAAGTCATTTTGGTCTCATTCTGAGCAGGACTGTGGTTTTCCTTAAGACATCACCTCTGTGAGGTCCTGAGTCATGTGTGAAAACTTCCCAAAAAGGAAACAGAGGCAAACTGAACAGACTCATTACTGAGGTGTTGTGATACACGATGGAGGTTCGAGTCCTCAGGGGCAGAGGCAGGAGAATGCTGGAAACCTCATGCCAGTCTGACTTGTATGGCTAAGACTGTGTAGTGAGACTCGGTCTCAAAAAAGATAAGCTGTTCAAAAGCCACCACAGGAAGAGCGGTGATGAAAAGAGGGGAGAACACCATATGAGGACCTAAAAGCAAAGGTTGCTGGGTATTTCAGTAGTCAAACGCCTGCCTAACATACACAAGGGTCACAACACACATGTACATGCATGCATGTGCGTATGCATATGCGCACATGCATGCAGAAACACACACACACCTGCATGCAAACACCCATATACATACTAAGAGGTCACCAATTTAGACAGCATGACCAAACTACAGAGCTGAGCAGTAGCTAACGCTGACCAAGGATCCAGTTTCCTCTGCACTGGAGCAAATGGCAGGGATGGGATGCCAGGTGACGGGAATACTGATTGTGCTGCCCCCAGTCTCACCTGTGGGTTGAAGGCTGTGCTGAGGGGACCAGACCCTCCCTAGAGGAAGGAGGTGGAGGGTGAAAGTCAGGACCGTGGTGTCCTTGGGATAGATCGGGAGGCCTTTCCTGGGTACCTGCTAACTTAGGTAAGATCCAGCTGTGTGGAGAAAAAACTTAGGCATGGCAGAGGAGCTCACTGTCTTTAATGGATGCATGCATTCCTCACAGGTGCAGGATTTGGGGGCACAGAGCAAAGCAGGGGTGGGCCTGGGTTCTCACTGGGGCACCACCGTTGAAACCTGCTGTGCGGGCCTTGGTGTCCTTATCCCTGAGAGAGACCTGCCGTGCTGCCTCCCTTGACAGACAGATGTGGAGATCAAAGACATAAAAACTGTGTGTAAAGCAGCTCACGGCACCAAACAGTGCAGCCGGCTCCCCACACCTGCAGTGTCCACCTGCGCTCCACTAACCACAGACTGGGAAGACCCAGGGACACCACCACGTGTGCCCTAAACATCAAGGTTTCTTAGCTTATCATCAATTCCCTAATGCTACAGAACCACAGCTACACAGTAACCATCTGCACAGCAGGTACAAGAGGCCATATGTCATAGCCAATGTTCAGGAGGATTGGGTAGGGTATGTGTAAATATTGTGTCATTTTATTTATGGGACTTGAGCCTCCATGCACTGTAGAATATGCAGGGCTTCCCAGGCTCAGTCACCCAGAGATACTGAGTGATGGCTGTATGATCTTCAGAGAGGAAAGTAGAAATTCAGGGTTTGTGGGGGAGGGAGGCAATAGGTTTCTTCCCCTCAGATCTACTGATATAAAATAGACTGTGTATATCAAATTAACCCCAGATGGGTTTAGGGTAACAGCTCAGTGAATAAAAGTACTTTTGCAAGTATGAGAACCTGGGTTCAAATCCGTGCCACATTGTTTAAAAAGTCAGGCATGATGGTTTGTCCCTCTATAACTCCAGTGTTAGCACACGTAGGGTGGGGGTGGAGTGGGGTGCCAGATCTGGAGAACTCCAGAGCTCACTGGCCAGCCAGCCTGGCCTGAGTCCACTTTTAGCCTCTATGTGCTTATACACCTATCCCCATGGACACACCCCTCCACCACATTAAAACATTATAAAGCGAAATAAAGCACACACACACAAATAGATACAATAAAAAGGATGTCTCTCCTTCCTCCTGTCAAAACTACTTATGTATATTTACATTATTTTTTAAGGTGACCAATGCAAACACAGTTTGATCTGGACACCTAAAGGCTCAATGAGTTATTTCTTAGACTTTATCCCTTTCTTCTCTGTCTTGATCAGGCAGAGGGATGGGTGTGCTCACCCCATCTAATCACAGTGCCTTTGTCACATTCTGATGACAATGGAGAGATGGAAATCTAAACAGTGTGCACTTCCCAGTGTGTTCCTCTCGGCTAGCAACCTCCACAGCCATCCACGCTATGACACTGACAAACACATGGTCAGAGGCCTTGATGGGGTGCCCGTTTCTGAACACCCACGGCGAGGGTTTAAGGATGCCGTTTTCCAGCCATCACTTAAAGAGCTCCCTTCTCTTTCAATATCATCATGTGGGATTATCTCGCTAGCCTGACGAGGGCTACTGTTCTTCACAAATAGGAGTTTCTTTCTTCCTCTTATTTATTCGAGATGTCTCCTTAGCTTTAGATGACAGGCAATAACATTAAAGCAAATCAAAGTCAGGTTTAACACAAGATGAAAGTTTATATACTTCCCTGATAAAATTTCTAAAAAAGAGATAAAATTTGTTCTTTATGTTCTGTGTGTGTGTGTGTGTGTGTCTGTCTGTCTGTAGTCATGACCACAGAGAGCATGGGAGGATGTCAGGTGTCTTTCTCAATCACTCTCTACCTTGCCCACGGCTGTCATTTTTCAGCTATCCTGGCAGCCATGAGACCCCAGAGATTCTTCTGTCTCTTATTTCCCCCACCCCAGCACCGAGGTTACAGGCATGGGTGGCCATGCCCAGCTTTTCTACAGATTTTAGGGATCTGAACTCAGGGCCCCAGACTTGGGGAGAACGGAAAAGACCAGGATGGTCCTGTTGGGCTTAGTTGTGCTTGTAGGTGTCAGATAACACCAACACTAGGCAATGCGGAGGGGAACTGAGACATCTGTACTCCCCGGAGTCAGAGCTTTGAAGCAGTATCTCACAAGGGCTCCATTGGAGCATGGCTACCATGGCATGATCACAGAGCCACACCTGAAGAGACCTCGGAGACTGGAAGGAAGCACAGCTCAGTCGCGTGCTACAGAACCCATTGTGTTTAATTTCTTTGCATAAAATGCAGTATCATCCTTCATGAAATGGCCAAGAGAGTGGGGGCTTTGTTTATCCACGGGAAGAAAGTCCAGATCTGCGTGACATCTTTGGAAGGTGGAGGCTGAGGTGAACTCGGGCTTGCTGTGGGATGGTCTATTCTGTGTTGACAAGAGTATCGGCACCCTGGCTATGACTTCTTCACAAGTTATCACAAACCTTGCACGTGACCTTCCCTGTGTTTTCCCCACAGCAGCTCTGCCAAAGGAGCTACCACTGGCCTTATAACTACCATCTTCCTTAGCTCCGTGATGAGCTTCCTGGTCCGGGTGACTGCCCAAAGCCAACTGCCTGGCTGTGGCCTTGACCTGCTTCTCTTCCAGGATGCAGGCAGAACTGAAGCATCCTTGAGGACACGGTGAGGAGCTGGCCAGTTCCTTCTCTGGGGAATCGGCTTTTCAGAGGGAAGTTCATGTGGCGCCAGACTGCAAGTAATGAGCAGCCATGTCATCAGAGGAGAGATTTACATTATTAAAAGCCAGGCTGGGGAAGGTGACAAGTGGGGGCACAATAAAGCTAAGTGTGAAGGAGCGTGTGAGAGACAGAAAATGGAACCTGCTAATGAGATATACTCCATAGAGAAGTGCTTCAGGGAGTGGAGGGGGCCTAGAAGATTCCACAAAGCTCTCCATCAGCAGGTATTTGTCACCATGCGGGCCCAGACAGAGACTGCGAAACAGGAGGGGTGGTGCAGGGGGAGGAAAAGCCCCTCCCTGTGAAACACTGCTAATGGCTGGCAGCCTTGGGAACAGAGTCCCTCACACCAATTAGTAGACCTATGCGAGAGCAGGCCATGCAGCTCAGGATGGAGACAGACACATCTCAGGGGCCAGTCTGTCAGAAAGGACTGGAACTCTGACAGTAGCTCATTCTGTTCAGGAAACTTATTCTAAATGTATGAGCTGGTGCTGACTCCCTGCGACAGGCATCTTTGTGCCTTGTGGAGGTCGGCTGTGGGATGCTGAGTTTTCACTGGAAGATCGCTCCAATGTCAAGGGCATTCACTGTCAGATTCCTCCCTGTGATGTACGTGGTGCAGAGCTGGATGCCTGGGGCTGGAAAGGGGCTTAGGGTTTGAGATCGAGATCGTTTGCTGATATGTGCCTATGAACATGAGATTTAACCTCTTTGGTGCGTGGTATCTAAACTGGTCACAATAAGGATGCTAGCCTAGCAGGGTCCTGTACTACTGTGGAGCCAATGGCTACAGAGGACACACTTGGTACCATTAATTATTGTTGCCTCACAGTCATTTCTGAGGTAACTGGGCCACTGACGAAACCATGAACTTTGAAGTCAGACAGATTCTGGCTCTCGGTAGCCATGTGTCAACCAATATATTGTTTAATAGTCTCCCGGTCTCTAAATGAAGACAATAGTCCCTTTTGAAACTAGTTAATGGCTGAACATATTTAGTCATAATGTCTCAAATAGCCAAGTTCTCAGGTTGTTTTACGTAAAAACCTCTTCCATAATTTATTCAAGGATGCCTTAAAACTGGATTTTCAAGAACGGGCACGAGCAGAAGGAACCTTGGCTTTTGACAGCAAGGACTCAAATGCCCTGTGCAGAATGTGATACCGTACCGGAGCACACAATGGGAGGAGGCAAGAGGAGCAAGGACCCCTGAGCTGCTTCTCGACAGCCAATCCCAGGAGGCCTCTTTCCTCTCTGGTCTGCAGAAACTCTGAGTCAGCAGCGGACAGGATGTTCCCACTGAAGAGGTCAGTGGTGAATCTGTTGTTGCACAAGCAAGACTTGAGAAGAACTATGTCTGCTAATACGGTCTGGGTCGTCACTAGAGAGCTGCTGTTCGGCTTGGACAACAATAGGCAGGACAATGAGAAAGCTATTTTTCCTTTCAGAACCCTCCATAGAAATGGGAAACTTCAGTTGCTACAGGACACTTGCTTTGCTGTCTCTAATACCTCACTGCTGGGTTCTTCTGGATCCCAAGCATTGCAGTGTCTCATTGCTTCTGACCTTTGACCTAGAAAAACAAATTCTATTATAAATAACTTTATTTACCTAAAATAAAAATGTCAGCACACATGACCATGTATAAATCAGTATAACTCTTCCTTTCAGGTATGTCTTTAGTCCATTTCTTTTATTAATCCATCTTAGAACAGTATCTACACTCACTCCCAGGCTTTCTTACATGAGTAGCTTCCAGGAGACAATCTTGTTCCTGATCGTGACATGAATGAACCATAGCTGCACAGGATCTGGCTTGAGACCAGTGGGAGGGGGGAATTTGTCTGGCTTCTAAAGGCTGCCCGGGGACAAAGGGCAGCAAATTTAGCATGAAATCCACTAGATTCATCATCTCCAGCCTGGTAGCAGAGAACAGACTTCTGTCTCGGGGCTTGCTGAGAGACTGGGATCCAGAAGGGCTAGGAACCTTCCCTTAAAAGGCCAGGGGCACACGTGCTCACAGAGGCTCTGTCTCTGGAGCCTGGGACTCTCAGCTGTAGTCTGAGGAAGGAGAAAAGAACCAGGACCCACCCCAGGAGGAAAGATATCAGAAGGAGCCTGAGGTCAAAGGGCAGAACCTAGAATTATCTAACGAGAACTTTGGGTTCCAGATAAATTTTCTCCCCACTGAAGCCTGACATGCACTCAGTAGACCACTGAACAAACTCTGCATTCTCATCTCCAACACAGCTACAGAGAGAGGAGGTGGAGAACTAGGAGCAAGAAAGAAAGTCTTGGTCCCAGATCCCTGTTCTTTGACAGGTCCTGGAGTTTCAGCAGTGAGGAAGAGTGAGAAAGTCTAGTAACTAGTCATGGGTCATGAGTACCCTAATTCTTTCTCCAACAGTGCCTCACGGAGGGCCTCACATTGAGAAGGGCACACGGTCCATCCACTAAAGCACAGGCTGGCCACATGGTTCTCAGAGCGCCAACGGCAGGGCTGTAAGGGAGAGGGGCGTGGTCAAAAGGGAAGGCGACACTACTGCTTCTGTTTAAGGACTTTCTAGGTGTCATCTTGGATCTAAGACAACTCCAGTTCTCAGCTTAGCTCCAGCAAGCCCCACACAGACTGCTGCCATCTTGTCGGAAGGGATCACATGGGGTGGAGGGAGGACATACTGGTAAGAACTGAGTGAAACCCCAACTGGAAGACAAGAGCATGTTCCAGTGTGACTCTCCTGTAACCTCCCCTAGGGTTCTTACTAAAATAATAAACAAAGGAAATCAACATTAAAAGAAACTATCAACTGTTTGAGACCATCCTTCCTCTTGGCATTGAAATAATGTGTGTGTGTGTGTGTGTGTGTGTGTGTGTGTGTGTGTGTGTATGAGGACACAAATTTGACTGTGTGCATGTGTACATATGTGCATAAAATGTACAGTGAATGTATGTGTATGAAGAGTATGTTTCAGATACTGTTTAATGACTTTATGTGACAATGTTTGGAATAACTATGCATACATGGTTGAGTAGGATGGGGTGATGATTAATCTTGGTTGTCAACTTGACTGCATCGGACATTAACTAAGCCATAAGCCACTGGGCCGCTCCTGTGAGGTAGACCATTTAAAGCAGGAAGACCCACCCTAAATGTGGCTAGCACGCTCTGGCAGCAGCCTGGGTAAGAGGACATGGCAGAAAAAAACTGCTTGTGTCCGTTTGCTCTCCCTTCTGCTGGCCAAGTCCACTGACCTCCTGCAGCCGCATTCCTTCACTGATAGCAGAGTCTACTTCTTCAGGCCTCCAACAGTGGTCAGAAGACCTCTAGGCCTTCAGGGCCAGATTAGAATTGCAGAGAAAAAAACAATACAACTGGCTTCTCTATCTCTCCCATGGGAGACAGCCTCCATGGACTGCATCCTGTAAGGCAACCTAATACATCCCTTCTAAAATATCTGTCTGTCTGTCTGTCTTTAGATGTAGATATTCATTCTATCAGTTCTTTTTTTAGATTGATATGATTTTCAATTCTTAGTTCATGTGGAAAATAGATTTTAAAAGCAGGGGACTTGGGATAATTTCACTTGGTTGTAATTCCTCCAGACTGGCGTGTGAGTTTGATGGAACCTGTCACTAAAAACATATGCTTCCCTGGATGGGGCCGAAGCAGACAAAATATTATGCAGTGTTGGATGCATAAACTCTGGCAACCTGCCAGTGTGTCAACACTGAAAATAAAGACGATGTAACCCAGGTCTATCTTGAGGCCCAATCAGGTATCAAGGATCATATTATGATAGCACCCACCGATGACAAGATCCAGACAATAGAGAGCCCCCAGGCAGCACGGAAAGGGCTTCTGGTGACCTCCACACAGAGCGAACTGATTGAATAAACTCTCATTTGTGATAAGAAACATTCGTCTTTAAACACGGAGTACCGCAGGCTATGATGAAGGTCAAGGTTAGAATGTAGGCGTGTAGGTGGGACCAGACAGAGGCAGGTGGCTTAGGCTGGAAACGTTTTCAGTGGGCTGAGCCCCGTGGCTGGGATTCACATTTGATGATTACATAGGACAGTTGGGCTACAAGGGAAGCACCTATGTCCAAATTAGTAAAGACTGGTTTGGGAGGGTACAGAAGCCTGCCACTTGGACATCTCTACAGCCTACTATCACGGATGGAGCCTCTCACACAGCTGGCATTCAGACCTGCAGCTCCAGAATGTTCTTAAGCTAGGGGTGAGAAAGCATGGGTGGAAGAGTCAGAAACGGATCTTTCCTGGAAAGGTTCTGGAGATGAAAAGGGGTGTGAGGGACAAGCGCTCTGTCAATAACGACACATTAGATCCAACACTGGGGGGCGTTGTGAAAGCAGCCCGCTCAGATGTAACACTTGCATTCTTGTATGCAAGGTGGATCATGTTACAGGTGGGTAACATGGGAAGGATGGGCAGCTTCACTGGGTGAGCATGGGATACAGAGCCTGAAATACAAGAGATGAAGGGAAGCACCTTCTCAGTGTGGCTCTCTCGGGGGTGCCTTGAAGCTCCTGGGGACTTTCACACTGGGTCTCAGCTCACGCCTGCGGTTCAGACACAAGGCATATCTACAGATGGCTAATCTCTGCTTTGCTCGCAGAGGGAGGCCCTTTCAGGGAAGAGGGGCTAGAAAGGAGAGCAAAATGGCTTCCTGAAATTTTAAGGGAGATGATTCAAGCCCAGCTGCGGCTCTATGATCTGTGCATTTGCCCTTCTGCCACACTGCCTACTTGCAATGAAGAAGCAATACAGGAGTATAAATCCTCTCTCTCAAGCCAGCCAATTGCATATAAATTGTACACAAAACAGACCTCACCATGAATATATTTACGGCTGCCTTGGCAAGTTTTATGGAATGCTCTACAGTCATTTTTTTACCCTCATGCCCTTGTGGTTTAGCTCGCTGAAACATATTTTAACCTAAAAAAAAAAAAGCCTAGGCTCTGATTAAGTATAAACGACTTTTAATTTTAGATTAATGTTCTGATAGAGTGTAAAACAACTCAAAGTTGTGTAAATTTGTAGTTGGGGACTTTTTTTTCTAAAATTGTAAATTATCGACTTGATGGATTATAACAACTCCATTGAAACTGCTATGCTCTGTTACTCAAATCTTCACAGTGTAGCTCAGTGACAGGTTGACGCACACAATGATCCCATTGGTGGGCACACCGTAAACTCACAACTGGTGGAGCTCTCTGCAAGCAAGACCTGCTAATCACTCAGCAGACTGAGGCGAGCTAGCACTAGGTGACATCAAATTTGCTGTCCTTCTTCGTGTGTCTGATAGATTTGACTTCAGAAGGTCACGAAAATCCTTGTTTGAGTCTTGGTAGAACCAGCATGTAGCCGTGCCTACCAGTATCCTAGACTTGCCTCAAATTCACAGTCCTCCTGCCTCAGTCTACTGGGTGCTGATGTAGCAGTGTAACAGGAACTCTTAAAAACCACACTCGAAAGGATTCTAATTTCTCTAGAAATCTCATGGTGGTGTGAGTCCCATGCCCCTGGGCAGTGAATGTTCATCTCACGATTTTGGTAACTCACCTCACAGTAAATCCACTCTGACCCTGGCCTTTGCTTCATTTTTTCTATAAGTAGGAACAGCAGAGAGAAACTAGACCATTTCCTCTCTCTGGTTCCCAAATTCTAAACAAGTGCCCTGTTCTTTACTGATTCCTGACTTCCGGTTTTCCTTTGGAAGGCAGCAAGCAAAAACAAGAGTTTCTAGTATTGAGATCATAGAATCCTCTATCCATTTTCATCATTATGATGACTGATAATGATTCTTCAACAAAACCTAGTGCTATTCTGATCAAACGCAAAGCCACCAACAGTTTCTGGTTTGAAGTTGGGTGCAGCCAGGCCAGGATAGGTAGAGAGCCTGGTGAATATTCTTCAGACAGATCCCACTCTTGCAGATCTCTTGGGCACTGATGATGTGTCTGAAGAAACAACATTCTGAATGTTACTCAAGAGACCTACCCCTTTAATACATCACCTCTGCGAGTTCGAGGCCAGCCTGGTCTACTTAGTAAGTTCCATGCCAGCCAGGGCTGCATAGTGAGTCCAAATCCCAAAAGGTTAACACTCAGAAGTGTATAGCTGTTTCTCTTCTTATGTGGAATCCGTATTTAATAACCCAGCTGGCAAGTGGGCCACAGTAATGACTATGTCACTGTGTCCCACACAGCCAGAACTGTCAGACGGGGTCTGCAGAGAAAGATGGTGTGCACTGAGGAAAATAGATGAAAGAAAATGAACCCAGGGTTTTCCTCCC